TATACAATTAACAACAATTATTAAATTTACAAGAATTTATATTAAAAATAAAAAAAAAAAACAAATTAAGATCTATTAATTTTATAGTGTCCATAAGCATATGAGGTTATGCCATCATCTAGTAGATCGTTTGTCATCAAGCGCACTTAAAGATTTTTTCCGTTGCTGGATGGTAAATAAATTATGGTTTTTACGCTGGATTCTATTTATGGTGTGGTAAGAAGGTGTAAATGAAATTAAACAATTTTTGTAATCATTAAAATTTTTATGATTTCGGATGATAGATCTTGAAATCCCCTTGGCAGTTTTCTTTTCAAGATCTTCCGTCCGAATAGAATACATTTTAGAACGAAGTCCAATAAACTCAAAAATGGGTTTTGAATTGAGCTCGTCCTTAAGACAGCCTATTTTCTTTTTATTATTTATTGAACATAATTTATGGTCAGGAGGATACTCTGAAAAATCAAATAATTGCTTATGGACACCTAAATCTTTATAATTGTTTAAAGTTCTAATCTCGTAAGTCCGTAAAAAGAAGCCTTGCTTTTTCACCATATGTTTGTTTGATAGTGTTGTAATGGAATTTGTACATATGTACCTTACTCAATTCCAATATAACAAAACCAATATACATAGGACGATTGAGCGTAACTTGAACTTTAGTTCTCTCAACACCCACGAGATCATGATTAAATATTTTGAAACGTTTAAAGGATGATGCTGCAACTAACTTTTTAGCCCTTCGCTCTGTATTAACTAGCTGAACATCTATATGGTTACGAACATTTTCCATAGTCTTACCATATACCGAGTTATTCATAAGTTTAAAGAAATCTTTTTCAAAGGTCGAATGAGAATTTTTACGTTGATTTGTATTAAACTCGATGTAGGTTTTAAGCCATGGTTTTTGCTTAAACTTTAAAACTTTATGAACGCGAACTAAATTCAAGCCTAAAGATATGTAAAGTTGTAAATTTTTATGGTAAGTGATGTAATTTTCCTTATTTTTTAAATTTGGAACTAGCTTAGTACAAGGAGTATATTTTACACCGTTTAACATCCCGGTTGCAAACGGTGATAGATGCTCAGCCGTAATACTCATCTTTTCAGGAGCCAAAGGGTAATCATTGTGAATATCGTGCAAGTGTGAGGGATACTCTAAGTCCACTTCTAACACGTACCCATCTTCACTATTGTCCTTCAAATTTAAAATATGATCAATTAAAGTATCAGAAGGTGTAACCCATTCAAAGTTACCGTATGGCAAATATTGGGACATTGCCCACCCGTACAAATTATTTGCGTCCAAATATATTATATGTTTGGACTCCTCCTCCGCGTTATAATTTGGAATAAGGTCATGATTTGCTACAGAGTGACGGTGACTTATCATGGAAACACCTCCTCGAATACCACGTTCGATAAACAAGTGCATGTTTATGTCTGTGAATAATTCGAGAGGCTGTTTCGTCATTTTAAGAGAAGCCTGCCATGCTAAACCAGGTGAAGTCATAACATGACCGCAATCCAACCCATAGTGTTGCATGCACAGGCGTCTAAAATTCTGAAAGACATCTGCCAACTGTAGCACATCAGATTTTACATATAAATCATGGTATTCCCCCAAAGAAGTTAAATTAAAAGATTTCCAAACCGTTTGGGCATGTTGATAGTCCTCATCAGATACACTTTCCCCAGTAAGAGAACTGTGAAATTCAGTTATAGGGGGCAGTGTATCTTCCTCGAACTTATCAAAGGAGGACATATACTCATATGGATATATACCCTTCCTTAGAAGTAGACTTAGAGAAGGATGATTAATATTTTCTTTTAAAATTTTAAAATGATCGAAACTTAAATTTGATACTAATTTTTCCAATGACGTATTCATAAATTGGAAACTGTCGATGAAATTTAAAGAAACTTTAATTTTGTTATAAAATTTGTCAATGCTGAAAGAAATATATTTTTCCATATTGTTGGCAATTACATTAAAACTATGATTTTTAATTTTCCCCAAACTTTGCATAATGAGATGAGCATCGTAATGCTTTAAATTATGGAAAACAACTGGAATTTTTTTAGTTAATTTAAATTTTAAGTTACAAGAACGATGAAGGGGTGCACGTCTAGCTCCTGTGAGATGGTCGTGATCACGAACTCTGTCATCACCAAGGGGCTGATCACACACTCCGCAATTCACGGCAGAACGAAAGGCCTCCTCGTCTTCTGGGGTGAAGCCCATGGGGACTGTTGTTATTAATTTAGTTGCCAACTCCTCCTTTTCCCTTAATATGTTTTCCAAAAAGTGGTCTACAGAATCAGGTCCTCTATAGACCGTAACAGGTTTGTATGTTTTTCCATCAGGCCCTACGATTACGTAAGCATAACCGCAGGGTGTATGAACTGACATTTTCTCAGTATATGAGGCTAAAGGATTAGGTTGGCAACTATCAATTTTCTCAATGAGAGACTCAAAATCTGCGTAAATTATATAGGGAATAGGATGCTGAAAATTAATATTATGAAAAGATACAATTTTATCTTTATCATCAGGCATTTTAATATTTTGAGGGGAATTATGTTTACAAAAAGTTAAGTGTTTTTTAAGGGTCTCTTCTACTGCAAATCGATGAAGACATCGATAGCAATAGAAACTTTTAGGATTATGTTTAGTGGCATCACCCATCAGACGAGAGAAATTTCGAATGAGGCAATAATGATTTTGCGTTTCATTTGAAATTAAAAGTAAGTTGCAGCATTCAACATCCTCACGTTCGGAAATATACAGTGGAAATATTACCTCGTCATACCCAAAGACGTTAATTCGAATGTTATTGAGTGTCTCGATTTTAGGAATTTGGAATATGGGTACTGGCAAGCTACAATTGCCCAAGTTAATATTTGATTCGAATGGTAAATAATGGTTAACTCGTTGTGGATTTTGAGATTTATGAATATTCATTCGAAAAGCCAAAAGACACCATACGAGACATTTTTGATCTAAATTTTGAATATTTAATACTGCTTTTTGACTTAAAATTTTAGTGGGCAATGGAATATAACTGCTTGCGCTTAACGGGCAATATTTAGCACTGGATACTTCCATAAAATCAATAAATTCGAGTATCCAACCTGAACCATTGTTGCAAAATTTTTCAAAAGCACCATGAATTTTTAGAAAACCAGTGTTTATATTTACCTCCAGACCATTTTCCAACAACTGGATGTAACAATTGCTTCTAAAGCAGGGGGTTGCATATTCGGGTATCCCCTCAGAGTTTTTTCTGCTGCACAAGGTCTTTACCACTAGGTAGAATTTAATATTCCCCTTTTCTCTAACTTCACCTCTCAGTTTTTCATTCAGTTTCGGACGTATCTCCTCGAAGAATAAATTAAAATCAAACATGGAGTCTTCGCTAGGAGTTAAGAATGAAGTTGAGAAAACCCCTAACGCTGGTGATGGCGAAACTCTTTTGGACGATGATGATGATGATGAGTCATCGCTGGACTTCCTCTTCAAATGATGCAACCTTGTGTGAGAAAGCAGCTCGGATTTTTTAGAAAACTTTGAGGAGCATTGATCACATTGATGAACCTGTATGAAATTACAGTAATGAATACACAAATTAAATAGAACATGCTTAATTCTGTGTTATTGAAATTATACTTACATTCCTAGTTGTGCAAACTTTATTTTTCACATGCTGATTCATGTTATACTTCCGCGAGAAGGACTTGTTGCACTGAGGGCAATTGAACTCCTTGATTTCCTCATGGATTTTACAGTGCTGTATGTAATTATACTTCCGGCTGAAAAATTTGCAGCAGATGGGACAAACCTAAAATAAAAACAAATTATGATTCATACAAATTTAGTTTTACATAAAATAAAGTAATAATAAGTTTATACACTAACGAAATTTTAATCAATGTGATTGAGACTAAGATAGTTTTAGAATACATTAGCTTAAGCGAATTTAATTTAGGATACTTTTTCACAAATAAGTTTATGTATTAAAGAAATGTTAACGAATGTGATTGAAACTAAAATAGTTTTAGAATATATTAGTTTAAGCGAATTTAATTTAGGATACTCTTTCACAAATAAGTTTATGTATGAAATAAGTTTTAACAAATGTGAATGAAACTTAAACAGTTTAGAATACATTAGTTGCAAAGAATATAATTTAAGATACGTTTTCTCAAGCAAGTTTTTACATAAAATAAATTTTAAACGAATGCATTTTAGACAAAATTAAATTTCAGAATACATTTAAATTAAATAATGTCAACTTACAAAATTTGAAGGTGAGACTTTCTTGCCACAGTGTTTTTCCTTCGATGGATCCGCAGTAGGTGATGATGGTCCGGCAGTAGGTATCTCAGGCTGCGATAGCAGAATAGATCTTTCCAACTGAGGTGGCATTGTTTGCGTCGGTTCAAAGTTGAACTGAGGATCATCCCACACTTGAGCCATTTCTACTGCATTGCAAATTTCATTCAATTCTTCGGCGGAAATACCAAAATCAATGAACTAAAAAAGTATATTTATAAAATTATCTCAAGTGTTAAGTATTTTATTATAAAACATGCAAAAAAATTTTTTTAAACATAACATAGTCTAAAATTAGTTTAAGTCCGATAAAATTGTCAAACGAGCTTAAGTTCTCTTAGAAAAATTAAACTAGTAGAACATGAATTATTTTACATAATATAAAATTAGTTTAAGGAAACATTTGTAAAACAGTTTCACAAAAATAAAATTTAGTAAAACTTAAACAAAATGAATTTACATCATAATCTAAAATAAGAACTTAATAATAAATCTGTAAAAGCATAATCTAAAATTTTTGGGAAAATAAATTTGTAAAACAATCTCAAGTTCTTTAGGAAAATTAAACTAGTTGAACATAAATTTAGTAAAATTTGAACAAAATAAATTTGTAACATAGAATAATACTTACTTCATCGTTAAAGCAATCCATGTCGATATTAGATGATAACTAAATAAAATTCAGTTTAAAACTATAAGCACTAGCTGAACTAAAAGCTGAAGAGAAAATGTCACTTTTTTACAGCAGTATATATATTATAAAATGTGAACAGGTTACAACTTGGGCATATCTTATCAGTACCATGATGTCATTCAAAACTGACCAACCAAACTACCATGGTACACAAAACTGGTACATTTTATCAGATGACGTCTTGTTTATTCTTGGATGTGTTCTATCGTAACATTCCACTAAATGGAATGTATAGTTATCGCATATATATGACATCATCCTCACAAACGGAAACTTTGGAATGTTCTGGAACAAATGTTTATCTCAAATAGTAATAAAGTCTCCTTCACTTACTGTTGTAGTATCATTTGTTATTGTGTGTTACTGAATTAGTCAATGTTTTTATTTTCTCTCTCTTAAATAATGCCTAACATTAATAATCCTAAAAGAAAAGTAGACCAATCTATGGAATTTTCTTCAAACAAGAAGTTAAGAATCGATGTTTCAAAAGTAAGTAACGTTATTTTATATAAAATTGTATACTGTTGATAATTGTTTTATATGTTTATGATAACTAATTATTCTTTTTTTATCATTTTTTCCAGAACGATGGATTATTTAGCGACGACCACATGCCCGATGAAGTGTTTCCGATAGGCAACGATGTTTTTGTTAAGGCAACTACCTATCGCGGTTTTGTTACCGTCCACCTACGTCAATACAAGAAATATTGTAAAATTTATTATCCAACAACTGAAGGAATTACACTTAGGCCATGGTGGATTGAGTATATCATGGGTCGCAAAAGAGTTCCGGAAACAAAAGGTGAATTACCTGGTGGACTCTACCCACCCGAAAAGGAAATTCAAATCTCAAGTGAGAATTTTTCTGATTTTTGCTTTAAACGTATTTACGGGATTGATAAAGTATCCGATTCTAAACAAATTACCATAACTAAGGAACAATGGCAAGAAATGATAAAGAAATATGATGATATTTCAGCTACAGTGTTGGATCTTATGTATAAGAACGTGAACCTTTTAGACGCTTTTAAAACTTTCTGTGAAACTCCTATTGAAAAAGCTTTACCAAGTTCTTTGGATAAAAGTCTTGGAGAAGAGTTCCTGCTTAAAACTCTAAAAAAATCTATTTGTGACATTTTGATTGAAAATGGTATGAAAGAACCGACTAGACTTGCTGAAGAACTGTTTGGCAACCGCATAGAAACTTTTAATTCTTTTGCTTTTTCTCTCGAGGTAATGGAATTGGCTGAACATTTTTATTCTAAGTTATGGGACAGTCAAAAGTCTTTATTATTGAAACCTGTTAACTATGTTACTGAGGAATTTTTTGAAAATTTAAATTTACCTCTTATGTTAAGAGAAGCTAGAGAGTACATGTGTCCTAGTGATACTTTTGAATATTTCGAAGANAAGCTAGAGAGTATGTGTGTCCTAGTAATTCTTTTGAATATTTCGAAGATTTTGTTAATTCTAGCATGTAAATATATAGCAAAAATTTCGAAAGTTTAAATAAAAAAAATTATATGCATAGTTTGAGTTTGTTTTATTTCTGAATGAATCAAGTAGTTTATTGTGTCGCATTCTTAAAATCTCATGTTTCCAAATAATAAACATCTATTATAGTATAAGTCTTTAATAATTTTATATATTCGATAACATAAAAACTGGAAGAAAAAAAACGAAGTTGTTTAGCAAATAATAGATATGATCATATTCTTTATCAGTAGAAGAGTCTTCTAAAGTATTCTTTATCTTTTCTTCTTCTTTCAAATGATTGTTTACCTTTTCATCCTTTTTTTCTTCTATTACTTGCTTCTTTATCCATGGTAGATTAAAATTTTCAATGTTCTGTTTTTTCTGAAGTAATTCATAATATTTTATAACTTTCTCATAATCGCTTAAATTACTCTGAAGAATTTTATGCATATCCTTATCAAATTCACTCATTTGAGTTTTCGACGGCGTATGTTTATTCACATCACTTTCCGGGATCAAATGATATTTTTTAGCGAACTCCATTTATGACTGAGGACAAAACACTAAACACAGTTGGTAATAAAATGTTTAGAAATCCTCCTTTCTGAATAATTAGTTTTCGTTTCTCAAAGAGAGATTTTTTTCTATCACCAATCTCACGGAGAGCAGTTTTATATTTTTGTAAACTTTTCTTTTTCTGCTTCGATATTGGTATATTTCCTTTCAATAAATTTAAAGAACACTCGCAAATAGCTTTTATACACTCTTTTGGCAAACGAGCTATGAGTTCTTTCTTTAACTTTTTAGGACATATATGGATGAGCTCTAATTGTTGTAGTTGTTTCTTCGTTAGTGTCATGTTGTGAACTAAAGGAATTTTGCACATTACTTGTGTTTTATTTGATAAATAAACTGTGTTTCATTGGGTAATATTTGCGTGCGGAGACGCATATTTTCATCTGTATCACTACGCAAATCAATCAATAAGTAAGAAAAGGGTTTTTTGGTAGCATCTTCATAAACCTCTTGAAAAAATTTAACATGTCGTGGAAATATTTGTTTTCCAAGATGAGTTATTTGACTCATATCACGACGATTTTTAAATAATAATATATAATGTGCATTCAGAGTAATTTCTCTCATTTCTTTTCCTTTATGAAAGAAATTTTGACATAGGAAACATATACTAATATTTAAATGATGGCTTCCTCTAATAAATAAATTAGTTAAGTTNCTAAACCTTCAGATAACATAACACGCGACTTGTTTTTCACTTTTATAGATACTCTCTTCGTGATATCATTAAAGTGAAAAGAAATTTTTTTCAAATGAGCCTCAATTAACAGAGCTTTTAAAATGTCTGGCACGGTATCATAAAAACCTGGAGGTACACGTCTTCCTAAAACTATCCGTCACATAAATCGGGAGTTAAATCGAAGGTATATAAAGTATAACCTTTAACAAATTCTTCACGTGAAATATAAATTCCTTTATCTTGATTAAAACTTGAAAACAAACGATGATAGGCTCTTATATAACTGTTGGATTCAAAGTTTAATTCTAGCGGTTTACTCGGCACAGGCTGTCCATCTACATAAATGCTTAAAAAGTTTACATCGTAGTGTTTAAATAGAAAAGGATTTAAATTATAGCTTCCATTTACAGCTCCGTTGGAAATACAACCTATTATAAGTCTTTTCNCATCCAGTTGGTCCACTAACAGTCATCGTAAATGGTTGTTGTAGTTTTGGAAACTCCATTGTAAATGAAAACAGACACAGAAAAATACCGTTTATATACTTTATTGAAAAAATTGTGTTTGTACATGAAATCGTTTATAAACAAAATTGTAAACTCGTTTATCATTACCTTGGATCATTACATATATCATTTAATACAAAATGAGACAAAAATTTACGAAGACTTCGTCCTCTACATTTAGAATATAAATAATAGACACAATATTGGCCACATACGGCACTCAC